GGGGGTGAGTGAGGTACGTGTAAGTGACACCAGCCAGTGCAAGAATTGCACTTGACTGATGTGACGTTCCGACGTATTACGGACATACGGAACAGACTGTTGCGAGGAACCAGGGGTTGCTGAGAGGTTCTCGCACAAGGATTGGAGCGGGATGAAGGTAGAGGGGGGAGTTGGTCAGGCTGGGAGTCATGCTGCCTAGAGCTCCTTAGGGCCGTGGAAGTCCTTTCTTGCAGTGCGAATACATGGTGGAGACTGCACAGCCGTTAAGGCTGGTGTCGCAGTATTGCGTTGGCAGGATGGTGCCACGTAATTCGTGGTCCCCTCCCTATGGATCTTAAGGCTTGAGCAGGTCTTAAGATTGCTCCATCCATTGCATGTGATGCACCTAACCGAGGTGGAGTTTGAATGGAGCCTTTTAGCGCATATGCAGCAAAAGAATTCCTCGGGGCCCGGGTTGGACTCGATACCAGCACGGGTCAAGAGGATACGGAGCAACCCTGCTGCTCTCATGACGAAAAACTTAAACAAACACTTACCGATCCAAACAGGTTTAGATCGCCAAAATAGCAGCCCTTGGCCGGATAAAATCCGGGTCAATTCCGGTAGAACCGGATGTTGTGGGAATTGATCTGCGAATTACCGTGCTTCTGTTCATTTATTTAATATAGATATTTCGGCGATCTAAACTTGTTTGGATCGGGAAGTTTTAGTTGAAGATTGTGGTCTTTAGACCAACTTCTAGCAGCAAGGTTTTCAGACTAACTCCTAACAGCAGGGTTGCTTCGTATCCTCCTGACCTGTGCTGAAATCGAGTCCAACCTGGGCGTTGAGGAATTCTTCTGCTGCATTTACCCGAAAGGGCTCCATCTAAACTCCACATCGGTTAGGTCCAACACATGCAATGCATGGAGCCATTTTAAGACCTGTTCAGGCCTTAAGACACATAGGGAGTAGACCACAAGCTATGTGGTCTCCTGCTGTCTGGGCACAACTGCGACACCCGCCTCAACAGCTGTGCAATCTGCACCAAGTCCGCGCTCTGCTCCTCCACTAAACTCCAGTCTGACCAAACCAAACTTGAGTGGGCGTATGTTGCCTCGTGCTGTAGAAGTCTGCTCCCGCAACCCCATCAAGTCGCGTCGCCAAACAACACCACAGTGCGACAACCGCCACTTATACGCACCTCCGGATCACCCTAGATAAACCCGACTCTTACAGTTGAACTGCAATGGACTCCAGAGCAAGATCGAGGAGATAGTTGCAATCATGAGCCTAGAACGCGTATCGATAGCTGCGGTTCAAGAAACCAGGTTAAGCAGCCGCTCAAATTTTCTTAGTTGTACAGGTTTCAATGTTATACGTAAGGATTGTGAGGGGGATAAAGGTTGAGGCCTTTCCGGTCAGGCGATGTCATGCTCGAGATATTTAATATGGTGATAGATAGAAGATTCGACATTCTGCACAATGAATGACGAACCCGCTACCACAACTATGGGCACCTGTAATAGCTCGCCGGATGTTACCATCGCTAGCGGTGTGCTGATAAATAGCATAACCTGGCGACCTATGTTAACTCTCGCATCAGACCAGCTGCCCATAATTATCTCGATCGAGAAACCTCCCGACTTTATTTCTGTGAACAACCGCAACTTCATTAACTTTAACAAAGCTAACTGGGTCGTCTTCACAGAATTTACCGAGAACACCTTCGCCGCACTACCCACTCCTACGGACGTCATCGTTGGCGAGTGTCAATTCCGCAAGGTGATCGCTGCTGTTACTGCTCGCTTCATACCGGCTGGAAGAATCGTGGAACTCCGCCCTAATTTCCCAGCCGAAGCAGCAGTACTAGCAAACGAGCGCAGCACCTTACGCCATGCCGATCCCTGTGATCCCCGGATAAGGGATCTGAATTTGGAGATTCGGCAAATGGTAAACCATCATAAGCGGACAAAATGGATAGATCACCTGAAGCCCTGCTACCTCTCTACCGGTGTAAGTAAGCTTTGGACTACTGTCGAGGCCTTGTCTAATCCAAAAGAGACATGATCGGGTTGAAATTCAATTCGATAGCCATGCCTCGTCGGACCCGAAGAAGTGCGCGAGCTATTTTAGCCGGCAGTTTACCCTGTACGCTTCGACCGACCAGGCCAAAGGATGTGTTACCCGACAGCTGCGCAAAATGCCAAAAGACTGCGCACCACTTACTTTCACCGATGGGGAGGTTCAGAGTGTCATCAAAAAGGCCAAATCGTCTAAATCCATTGGCCTAGACGGAATAAGCATGCTGATGCTAAAACATCTAGGCTCAACGGGAGTAAGCTACCTCACCAAGGTTCTCAACTTGTCGATGTCCACTCTTCAAATACCTGATGTGTGGAAAGTCGGAAAAGTGGTCCCACTACTGAAACCTGGGAAACCCGCCACCAAAGGAGAGTCTTATCGCCCGATAACTCCTTTCCCCAGTAGTGAAAACACTTGAGGCCTTGCTTCTCCCGACATTCACTCACCACCTGAGTAGCAGACCATCAGTATGGCTTCCGAAAAGTGCACAGCAGCACCACAAAACTTAGCGTCATAAACGCCCAGATAATTCATGGCCTAAACCAGAAGCCACCCTGCGAGAGGACAATCTTGTTGTTGTTGTAGCGGCAGAATTCTGCTGAGTTGACAGTCCTTGGCCGGAATAAATCCGGGTCCGTTCCGGTTATGTAGACCCGACTGTCATGGGAACGGACAATCCTCATAGCGTTGGACTTGTCAAAAGCTTTTGATACAGCCAATCACACAACGCTACTTGAGGACATCGAACAATCTACGCTCCCTCCAGGGCTGAAGCGGTGGACCATGAACTACCTAAGCGGTCGGCATTCATCCGTACTGTTTCGAGATTAAAACTCCAAAGAACAATTAAACAGGGGGTTCCGTAGGGCGGTGTCCTCTCCCCACTACTGTTAAATTTCTGCATTTCCAAACTCCCCCAACCACCAGCGGGAATTTCCTTGTCCTCGTACGCTGATGACTGCACGATATTGACGTCGGGCAATGGAATCGATGGCATGTGCTCAAAAGTAAACAGCTACCTCTCCGACCTTTCTCGCTTCTTCTCTGCAAGGAGTCTGACACAAAAATTCCGACAGTTAATAACCCTAAAACTTTAGGCGTCACATTGGATAGTCTGTGTTTCTTCACTCCTCACACGACCGCGATAACTGCCAAAGTACAGAGCCGCAACAAAATCCTCAAATCGCTTGCCGGCATCTCTTGGGGAAAAGACATAGAAACGTTGCTGGCGACATACAAGGCAATCGGCCTCCTAAACTATGCATCAGGTCGCCTGGATGTAGTGCAACGCAGACAAAGAAGTTTCAGACTTGTCAGAACACTGCACTCCGGATTATATCCCCAATATAACACCTGCATAGTGAGGCCCTTATACTTCCTGTTAAGGAACATAAAGAGCTCCTCTCCAAGCAGTTTCTGCTGGGGTGTTTTCGTAGAAATCATTCATCAATCATCAGCCATTAACACCTTCATTGACTCCCTCTCAGTGAATGGCGTACTAGGAGTCAAACGACCACCCATAGCAGACGTAGAGCTCGAGTTGCCTCGCGAAACCAGAGTGACCCTCGCGCAACTTCGTTCTGGATATTGTAGCTGGTTGAACTCCTACTTATCTAGAATATACTCCGACATTCCAAACATATGTTCTGTGAGCAATGAGGCTCCGCATGATACTAACCACATCTTTGCATGCCCAACAAACCCAACTCATCTAACACCCTTTTCCCTATGGTCCGACCCCGTCGAGACAGCCTGTTTCTTGGGCCTCCCGTTAGATGACCTCGACGACAACCAAACTATCAGTTATCATCCACGCGGGGACTAGATAACCGTTACAACAACAACAACAACATTCGAAGACGTTTATTACGTTTTAACATCGTTTTCTTTTTTGCACAAAAATTTTGCAAACATGTTCTGTCACTCAAAATGTTATATCTCACAAACCAATTATCCGATATGTGTGTAATTTATATACGTGTGTGTGTTTTGCAAATAAACATATGTATGTTATGTACATATGTATTTTTTCCATTCTAGATTCGGTCTTTAATGAAACTATGCCAATCTGTTTGGTAGGCTAAAGAAACGTAGATTTTTGGGAATTTAAAAAACTGCTATATCGATTGTTTTGAAATATTCAGGTTATATTCATATACAGTGTTGAAAAATATAATATGGACAAAGGGATACGAGTATGCTTAAAATTTTCAATTACATGCGTAAATTAAACGATATACAATAAAATATTATAATTCAAATGTTATAGTTCATTTTGATAGTTAATTAACATTTGAGTGGTTATTTAAGGATTATTCGAGTTAGCAAAGTGAAAACAGATATATTTTGTATTTTAGCCTGGAAATAAAAATAGGGACAAACATTAATTAATTTTTTCCTATTATTTTATTTAATTATTACTCTTCTTCCATTCAAATCTAATATTTTGTTTATCTTGCTTATATTTTAATCACCTCCTAATATCTTTGCGGCATGGAGCTGACAAAGTTAGTGTAAAGCGTGACCCTTATTGCATATCATGATTCTTGGACTTTTCTCCATAATTCGTGCTTATTTTTCAACTTCATTGCGCTAAATCCACGATTTTACCAGTTTGGAAGCATGTTTCGGGTCGTTGTCATGCATGAACTCCCATTTCAGCGGCATGTGCTTCTCCGTGTAGGGCAACATTACAGTATTAAGGATGTTGAGATAATCTGTTGAACACATTTTGTCATGTATCCAATAAATCGGGCCAACTCCAGCCGTCGAAAGGCATTCTTGATCCGCCTCCGTGTTTAATTGTTTTTCGTGTGTATCGGAGGTCAAATTCCGCATTTCGAGGTCGTCATACAGAAGTTTTGCTATCGAATCCAAATAAATTAACTTTCGTTTCATCCGACCACGGGATGTTATTCCGACTTCCACGAAGCATGTACCTCTGAAAAAATTTAATTATCTTTTTTACATTTGATTTGCTTAAAAATGGAACTTTTCTTGCACCTCTTCTAGTTAGATCAGCTTCCCGAGTCGGCATTAAGGCATTACAGACCTTATTTTTGGAGCATTCCATTATTTCATATTTTCACTTTCCGTACAACGATATAAAAAATTTTACTTGTTATGTAGTACAGTTAATTTCAACGAGGCAATAAATCGGCTCTTAATTTCAACGAGGCAATAAATCGGCTCTTAATTTCAGAAAATTTCATTGCTATCTTTACTATTCTTCTGTGCAAGCTAATAAATAACTAAATTTGTCCCTATTAATTTCTCCAGCTCGTACGTAGCACGTGCACTTAAAATCATAATTTTTTGTCGCAATGTAAAGACTTACAGTATAACGATTGTTTAGTTAAAGTACTTTTTGGTTGCATTAGTTTACAGTTCAGTTCAGTACTGACGAATATATGCAAATCTGTGCTATAATATATGGAAATAAAGGTGATATCTCTAGTATTTTTTCCAACACTATATGGGAAATATTTTGAAAATACACAGTAAAATTTTTTGAGTTACACGGGATCTCCGACGGCGCTAAAAAAGATCCTCCATTGCTGCAGTGATACCGGCTTTTCACAGGTCGAGGAAACTCCGCAATTCATGTACATTTTTAGGAGTGGGACAATCTTACTGTCTATCTTTTCATTAGGTGTGCAAATGCCCTCTGTTGTCATTTTGTGTTCTAAGTAGCTTACTTCCTTTTTGAAAAGGGAACACTTCCTTGGGCTCAGCTTTAGACCAACGCTAGCTACCCGTTGGAAAACCTCTTCCAAGTTTTTCATCGAAGCTTTTACCCAACACGATGATATCGTCGAGGTATACCAAGTAGGTTTCAGTGTAATCCTTTTAAGTATCTCAAAGGTAGCGTTACATAACACGGGTCAACAAAAAAATAATTGTTGTTTGTCCTAAACTTTATACTATGATTTTTCGATTATTTAGACACAAAAATTAAAAGAAAATACTTTTTTTTTGGTATAAAGTTTGCTTTTGCGATAGTTATAATAATAATACACTTTATTCAATTTTTTAAAAATTTAATTAGTTTTAATGCATTCAAAAATATTGCGAGATTGGAGTGGAGTTTTTATATTCAGAGAGTGCCTCCAGATGGCACTCAAGTGATAAATAACGATCAGGTGTTTCGTACACATCCAGAAAACGTTAAAATTTCATCGAGAAAGTGTAAATACGATGCTGATGCATTTTGTTATATATGTGGTGAATTTATGAAGCATATTTTGACTGTACTGTTCGAAATCAAGATAAATCATGGACTCCACATGTTGCTTGTGGTTATTGTAAAAGATGTTTGGAAGGTGAGCGATTTTTAATTGAGCGGCGAATCTACTGTAATAGAAATTGATTTAAATTCTATAGTTTAGGCTGGTATCGAGGTGAAAAAAGGTCTATGAAGTTTGCGACACCAAGAATTTGGCGTGAACAAAGTAACCATGTCCATGATTGCTACTTTTGTATTACTAACCCGAGTAAACGACGTAGAGGTAAAAATGCAAAACCTGTCGAATATCCTGACCTTGCATCTTCTTCTGCTCCAATTCCACATGACCTGACTCGACCAGTGCCTGAGCCACCAAAGAATCTATCTCAAAAAAGTAACTCATCTCTGAGTTCATATAAAAGTAATTCCGATAAAGAGTTTTTACCTACCCTAGAACAACCAAAATACCATATTATTACTACAGAAGATTATGATGACCTAGAGAGAGAATAAATTTACCAAAAAATAAAGCAGAGCTCTCTGTTAAAACAGTGGAATTTGCTTGATGATGTTAATATAACAGATCAGCGAACTAGGCATGAGACATTTTCAACGTTTTTCACAAAAGAAGATGGACTTTGTTTTTGCAATGACATCAAAGGTATGTTTGAACATTTACCTATGTAGTTCTATCTTAAATTAAATATTAAAACCACAGATTTTGAGAAAATTCGTTTAGTTAGTTTCCTGACCACAAAAGCAAACTTTTGAAGGTCATATTTTTTTTCCGTGTATTTGTGACCTAAAGTAAAGAAATTTTACACTTTAAAGTCGAGGTCAAATTTCGTGTTGACCCGTGTAATCCAAAGAGAATCACGGTAAATTGCCATAGACCATCTCCAACGCTGACAGCCGTCTTTTTTTTGCCTTCTTTGTTTACCTTCACTTGTCAATAACCACTTTTCAAATCAAGTGTTGAGAATTATTTTGTGCCTGATAATGAGTCCAGAGTGTCATCGATTCTAGGGAGCGGATAACTGTCATTCTTCGTTATATCATTCACCCTTCTATAGCCCCCACAAGACCTCATGTTCCCATCTTTTTTCTTCACAAGTACCTCAGGTGAACTCCATGGACTCGCTGATAGTTCGATTATACCGCTTTCGCTCATTTCACGTGTGGTCTGGCTTATAACTTCACGTTTTGCTAGTGGAACGTTTCGAGGAGCTTGGCGGATGGGTCTTGCACCTGTGGCAATAAAATGTTTCCCAACTTTGGTTCTTCCTGGTTTGGAATCGTCTTTTGACAAATATGGATGAATATATGAGAAGGAGTTGTTAAGCCGTATTTTGATGGTTTGCATCTAGTTCCTCGGTTCATTCGAATTTCGCTCGATATTTCGTTTTCGTCCATGGAATCTATGTCTCATTATCTCCATATATCTCTCTGTAATTATCAATCATCTAAAGTTGTACTTATTAACGTAACTGAACATAAGAGGCACTTCCATATTTGTAGAGGTCATAATCCTGTTTTCCATGTCAATTTTGATTCCTCGATTCGACGGTATCTGCCACTATAAAATTATGTAACACTGCTGCTTTTCAAATTACGAACTCATACGTTGAGCTTCCGAAAATTTGGGTATCTTCTCCAGTTGCAGTACGCAACATGGTCTTACTTCTTTATTAACCACATCAGATCGATTTATGGAATGTGATGCGCCCGTATCCACAGTCAGTATGCACTTATCGCTGTTTACAAATCCACTAACGGTAACTTTACTCGTATTGCCGCTTATTTGTGAAATGTAGATTACATGGCCTTTGCCTGCGCGAGCCAGCCCGAGCCCCTTTGGCTGGCTCGCTTTAGTTTAACGATTGGTTGGATTTGACATTTACTTCATCTTCCTCAGCTTTGCGTTTACGTCGAACTGAATTATTGGACTGGTTAGTTACATGCAATATGACCACTTTTTCCGCAATTGAAGCATTTCTTCAGACCATAGCTTTACTTACGCCTCTCCGTAAATTTTTCCAGACTGTCTGCAAATTTTTTTATCATCTTTTTCAAGTAATTGGGTGCGCCCAGGTGTGATCTTCTATTTATACTTGATGAACTTTAAATGTTCGATTGCTAAACAGTGTTCAGTTTCCTGTGTTAGAGCATATGAAACGGTTTCGCATTTATGTGCGTAAGCTAAGTGTGCTAACCTCTCAGTCTCTGTAGAAAACTCCTGCAGAGATTCATTGACTTTGCTTTCATTGAATCTGCTCCATGTGTTCACTACCATATCGTCTTTATAATGCATCTATTTGTTTTTTCCGTTTTTAATCCATTTGTCGCCGAACCACGTTGGTCCAGCTCCCTTTTTAATTATGGAATATTCAAATCGCAAAACATGTTCATTTTCAAATAATTATCTCCTTGGGAATTTATTTGACAATATCACTTCTTACACTAATTGTAACGGATTTCTCGATAAATCGTCTACATTGTAACTCACTCTTGAGTTCGATTACTGGATTGTTAAATAGCCAATTGTTCTCCTTATCACGTCGGTTATGTGGTATTGATGTAAAAGTTACCTCGTCCAGGAAATAGTACAATGAAAAAATTAAGTAAGCTTCTCACAAATTACTGTTTTTTGGTTGACAAGTGTTATAGAAACGTAATTGAATAATCCCTGTCACACTTGATCTCATTTTAGGCATTTGGATGCATTTTTTACTTGCATGTTTTTTTTTGTAAATTGAACAATCATATATTTCGTTTGTTGTTTAATTCAGAGTTAAATGGGGGAATATGTAGATATAAAAACCAATATTAATCGTTTAATTGATTCCGCCGAAGTGGATATTAGATACGCATTGTAGGAGTTCTAGGTTCAACAAGTAATCAAATGTCCAAATGAAATAGGATTCTTGATGGTGTTCTGACAAGAGTTCGATCATACCATGGGATTTTTCATACATAATATTTTTATACTCTCGCAACCTGTTGCTACAGAGTATAATAGTTTTGTTCACCTAACGGTTGTTTGTATCACCTAAGTTAAGTTAGGTTATGTATATATAAATGATCAGGATGAAGAGACGAGTTGAAATCCGGGTGACTGTCTGTCCGTCCGTCCGTGCAAGGTCTAACTTGAGTAAAAATTGAGGTATCTTTATGAAACTTGGTAGACATGTTTCTTGGTACCGTGAGACGGTTGGCATTGCAGATGGGCGTAATCGAACCACTGCCACGCCCACAAAACGCCATTAATCAAAAACAAATAAATTGCCATAACTAAGCTCCGCAATAAGATACAATAGTGTTATTTGGTACACAGGATCACATTAGGGAGGGGCATCTGCAGTTAAAATTTGCGTGGGCGTGGTCTCGCCCCTAATAAGCTTAATGTGCATATCTACTAAACCACTAAAGCTATAATAACCAAATTCACTAGGAGCAAATGTTTTAGTACGAAAAGTACTATGTTATAGTACGAAAATGGGCGAAATCGGACTACAACCACGCCTATTTCCCATATAACACCATTTTCAATTCCATCTGATCGATGATTATATCGGGGTAAAACTTTGCGTGAATAATACGTTTAAAGTATGCCACCTTGTGACCAAAAATTGTCTAAATCGACTCAAAACTGTTCAAGCCCCTAAGTACTAAATATGTGGACCCCAGTGCCTATAGTTGACCTTCTACCGAAAATATCAGTCAATCCACAAAGAAATCTCAAACGAGTATACCATTTGACTTTGCGAGAGTATAAAATGTTCGGTTACATCCGAACTTAGCCCTTCCTTACTTGTTTTATTTAACACTTATCGAGAGTTGTCAGTATGACGGCGTAGGGCAATTGAAACATCATCAAATATTTGTATGATATACAGATAGACGGGAATTGAAAAACGCCGCAACGAACAAATGCAACGACACAGTTACGAACGACAATAATTCCCAAATTATCTAGTAAATAGACGTTAATCGAAATAGGTAGTCTAAATGTCTCTAAATAGCGTTTGTGTATACGAAGGAACTGCGTAAAGCTTACTAAACGAAGTTCAACAAATAAATTCACAAAATTGTATCTAAATGGATTGGTGTATGGTAGTATAGATATGTTATGAACAAAAAATTATAAAGTTTTACTATTAATTTTTTACTTTCTCCAAGGGTACATCAATTCACTAAAGTCGAAATGTTTACAGTATGTTCGGAAAAGCAGTCAGAAACAGTATTGGAAAGTTTTAGGGATATTGAAATGCTTTTATATAAGCAGTTAAATTTAAAATTCCGCGTTCTTGATATGCCACCAAACGAACTGGGAGCTTCAGCATTCCAAAAATACGATATTGAGGCGTGGTTGGCCGGGCGGCAAATGTGGGGAGAAATTTCAAGCTGTAGTAACTGTACAGACTATCAAGCTAAACGTCTTAATATAAAGTATAAGACGAAAGACGGGATATTGAAATATACGCACACTGTAAATGGAACAGCGGCTGCGATACCAAGACTGCTTATTGCTCTGATTGAGTCAAATAAGGTGATACATTTTATGGATTATGTTTAGGAAAAACATTAAATTATAATAAATTTAATTTACAGATTGAAAATGGGGTGTTATGCATACCTGAAGAGCTTCGAAATATTTTAACCAATCCATTATTGGCTCGCAACAAAGTAGTTCCATCTTTAAAACTTATTAAGCATTTTTAAAGAAGACGTTTTTATAATCAATCATGTTGGAAATAATATCATAATTTCACATATAGGCAAACTGCTATTGTGTAAAACTTATGTTAAAAGTCAATAAATTTTGTTTACACTCCAATTATAATTATTGCGATTATTTGCAATTTCTTCTGAGTTGTTTTCACAGCTGGGTTTGTCTTGCGCTTAAAGTGTAACTTTGTTTGATATAAAGCCAAAACTAGGGGAAGTGAAAGAGACGCTTACAGTAAATTCCCACAACAGCCGGTCCTATGTTACCAGATTATTTTGAGGATTTAACTCTGTTTGGATCGGTAAGTAAAAAGTCAACTTCATTTTCACTAGAGATGCTACTCGTTCAAATACCATAACGAAGCTCCTGGGTTTCATCTGTTCCATGTGTCAGACTGAAATACGTCCGTCAGGTGTAACTCGTGCTCCTACCATAGAATGTCAGGACATAGATATCCGGTCAGGCGATGCCGAGCTCGAAATATTTAATATATTAATTAATTATCTCAATGGAGAAACCTGCCGCCTTTATGTCTGCAGACAATCGTATCTTCGTTAACTTCAACAAAGCTAACTGGGTTGGTTTCACAAAATTCACCGAGGACAATCGTCAATGAAAGTCAATTCCGCAAGGTGATCGTTATAATAATTACTTAAATAAGCTAAAAAAGAACATCGTACGTAATCCAAAATCGTTTAATGATTTTTTTAACTCCGAACGCAGGATTTCCAAATTTCCATCCGCGATGAAATACAAATCTATCATTTCAAGTGACAATGATATTATATCCAATATATTTGCAGAATTTTTCATGTCAAACTACTGTTATAATTCTCCTAAAACTTTTTCCATAAGCACGCGCTGTGTCCGAATACTTTAATGAACACTCCAATTATTTCTGAAGAAGACGTCCTACTTAAGTTAATTTAGTTAAAACCAACTTTTAGTTACGGCCCAGACATGATACCCTCATGCTTCCTAAAAAATAGTACCAAATTTATTGACTTGCCTATATCAAAGAAATTTAATTCCTCTCTTAAACATGGTATAGGTATATCCTTCAATATGGAAACAGTCATTTATTATCCCTTTGCATAAAAGTGGATTTAGGTCCAACATTGAAAACTATAGAGGTATCGCAAAACTATCAGTTATACCTAAACTTTTTGAAGCTATTATTCCTCATCTCAGCATGGATTTCGTAAAGGCAAATCGACTCTAACAAACTTGCTTAAATTTCTAAACCATGTATCATTACTATATAGGGAACATACACATACGGATGTTATATGCACAGACTTTAGCAAAGCTTTGGAGTAAGTAATGTAAATCTCTCGATTCTCATAAATAAACTTATCTGCTGAGCTTTCAGCCAAGATTTCTTCAATGGGTAGCTTCTTATCATTATAATAGAATACAACGAGTGCTATTTGAGGATACTCTTGCAGATACAATTAATGTTTCTTCAGGTGTTCCGCAAGGTAGTCATCTTGGCCTGATTCTGTTCTTATTGTTTATTAACGATATCTTTTCTGCAATTGAACTCTCAAACATTTTACTATACGCCGACAACGTTGAGGCATTAAAAATTAACGGTAATACACGGGCTAGAGGTGATTGTGATAAAGCAATTGTATTCGCAACACACCTAGCTGAAACTTGTCTTCCAAATGAGAGTAGTGATAATACGTTCCTTAGTAATGTTCAACCAGATCAAGCAACAACCCCAGCAAATTCCATTTGTGAGCTCAAAAATGAAATTAAAAGGCTTAAAACTAAGAAAGCACCCGTATTCGATCTAATAACATCAGAAGTATTTAAACAGTTACACATGTTTTCCGGTTGAGTATATTGCCCTGCTAGAATCGTATACCACCTCGAGAGTTTTCCTTGTAAAACAATTGAATGAATACTCCAAACTAAAATAAATTGAATCAGGCGTACCGCAGGGAAGTATTTTAGGACCACTTTTGTATATTTGTATACTAGAAATTTACCGTTAGCACCAATCAGTATGACTGCAACTTTTGCTGATGATACGCAATACCATGCGTCGAAAACAGTTTCGGAGTCAAATGGACTAAGGAATGGAGAATAACACTAAACTGTTGCAAGTCGGTTCGTGTGAATTTCACGAAAAAAATAATTACTCATCAACATATAAGTATTTTTGATGTCTGTATACCATATGCCATTACCGTCAAATATCTTGGCATTACGCTCGATGTTAAATTATGCTGGCAGGAGCACTTTAAGATGAAAAGGATTGAACTTAACCTGAAATTGTTAAAAATGGAATGGCTAATTGGACTAATGTCAAACCTGTCCATACATAACAAAAAACTTTTATACAAGCAAAGTCTTCTCTTTTTGGTTTAGCATATAATTTTATGCCTAGCGATCCATATTGAAGCCGTATCGTTGGCTATTTGCCATCATTTTAAATAAAGCAATTGCGATTTTTTTGCTTTATATATCGTGTTTTCCAAGTGTTCCCTAAATTTTAGTATAACGTCCAATATCGTCATTGCATTTGATCACTTCTACTACTATGAGATCATCCGCATAAGCGATTAGTTTCACTCATTTTGCTTGATGTATTCTCAGCACCAGGTATTTATGAGGTATTGGGGACTGCTTTTTGGATTGCTAATTCTAAGCGGTTTCATATATCGCTTTCGTACACTTTACATTTGTCGATCGTGCACAGAGGTCGATATGATGAAAGCTCTTCAGGTGCCTTTTTTGGTTTTGGGAGTAGAACCAAACGCTGTACCTTCCACGGGTCGGGAAACACTTTTTCAATTGTAAATGTATTGTACATTTTAACAAACAAACTGGGTCTTAGAGTCATGGATTCTTTTAGGGCTCTATTTGGTTTACCTTCTTTTCCAGGCACTTTGGAGATTTTGATTTTTTCTCGCAGTAGCCAATAGTTCTGTGACTTAGTTTCGCTTAGCATAGGAAATAGGATCATGTGTCGGAAATAATGCTTCGACGACTTTTTTTATAAAAGATGCGTTCCTAGGTTGCTGCCACTTATTTTGGTATTTCGGCATACATATATTGTTCGCAATTCCCCAGGGCCTATGTTTGCTTCTTCACAAAGGCTCTCGAAACAGGATCGTTTGCTACAGGTAATGGCTGATTTAGGGCGCTCTCGAACGTGTCGGCTCTCTTATCTGCAAGGATTTATGAAAGTTTGTGTATGCATTTTTTGTTGAGTAAAGTCATACACACATATGTACATATGGTATAGAGCAGCGCGCGAGTTAATTCATATACTTATGAATGGTTAAAAAATATATATTTTCTTTTGCAGAATATGATCTTTATTCTTAGAAATTCACATACTTAATGAACAGGTTTTCGTATTATCATATGGGTTATAATATATAAGGTTGTCTAATATCTCCCTTCCGCTTTTTTGTCTTTTGAATTTCGCGGCTATGTACAAAGCGCTACAGAGCTCGTATCTGGCAACACTATACATAATTTGAAAGGTCTTGACATAACCTACAAAACAACGCTATGCATGATTAGTTTGGATATTGCGTTCAACAGTTATAGACGTGTAAACATGGAGTTCACTAACGCCGAAATTCGCGCTATTTTAAAGTTTTCCTTCGTTAAAGGCAAATCCGTTAGAGAAACGTTCCGTGAGATTAGCGGTGTTTTGGAGGATGGTACTCTATCACTTCGAACCGCGGAGGAATGGTTTCGACGATACAGAGCCGGTGAAAACGACACCATGGATAAGCCAGCCGGCGGAAGACCTGTGACGAGAAATACCGATCAAATCATGGAATACATCGAGTTAGACCGGCATATGGCATCTCGTGACCACTCGCCCAGGAGATGGGAGTTACGTCACCACAACCATTTTGAACCATCTGCAGAAGGCTGGATACAAAAAAGTTTGATGTTTGGGTGCCGCATAATTTGACGCAAAAAACCTTCTGGACCGAATCAACGCCTGCGATATGCTGCTGAAACGGAACGAACTCGTCCATTCTTGAAGCGGATGGTGACTGCGACGAAAAATGGATCACATACGACAATATCAAGCGAAAACGGTCGTGGTCGAAGGCCGTGAATCGTCCCAAACAGTGGCCAAGCCGGATTGACGGCCAGGAAGGTTTTTCTGTGTGTTTGGTGGGATTGGAAGGGAATCATCCACTATGAGCTGCTCCCATATGGCCAGACGCTTAATTCTACCATCTACTGCGAACAACTGGACCCCTTGAAGCAGGCGATCGACCAGAAGCGTCCAGAATTGGCCAACAGGAAGGGTGTAGTGTTCCACCAGGACAACGCCAGACCACACACTTCGTTGATGACTCGTCAGAAGCTACGGGAGCTCGGATGGGAGGTTTCATCGCATCCACCATATAGCCCGGACGTAGCGCCAAGTGATTACCACCTGTTCCTGTCCATGGCGAACGCCCTTGGTGGTGTGAAGTTGAACTCAAAAGAGGCTTGTGAAAAGTGGCTGTCCGAATTCTTCGAAAAAAGGAGGGGGCTTCTACAGGAAGGTATTATGAAGTTGCCGTCTAGATGGAAACAGTTCATCGAACAAAACGGCGCATATTTTAACTAAATCCGATCACTGTAACACTTTTTATAAAGCATTGAATAAAGAGCAAAAAAGCGGAAGGGAGATATACCTTATATTATTCGTTAAGTTGATAACATATTCATGTTTTGTGGCTTAGGTCTAAAGTCTAATTGTATTATTTCTTGTAAACAAGTGCTTATCGTGCACTGAGGGTGGCTGTCACTAAAGGTGGCTGTGAGTTGTTGAAGTTCGTGTAGTTTCTTTCTTTCTTGAGTAACTTGTCGTAGTTTGATTAATTTGAGTAGTGTCCAAATTATCAGGATTATAATTCCAAAGGTTGTGATGTGTACATAAAGTTTGGATCGGGTGATCTTAAATTGGAATGAGTAGTTTATGTAACTTCCGGATATTCGTAAATTAGTTTCTTCATTGGAGTTGATTACTTCATCAATTGTTATGATGCCTTCATGTTGGATTATCTGCTTAATTGTGTCCTGTATGTTTGTGTACTTTCGTCCATTTATTTTAATGGTCATTAAACTGGATCAAGTTTACT